ATAGACATCTAGACATCTATCATCATCAAACTTTTTTTAAATCATCTCGTCTACAAGCAGATACCGAAAAATGACTGTATATTTTTAAAACAATATTTTCTATGTCACAAATCAAGTAGCCACTAATAGGCCTTTCCGATTCACGCCAACAGCACTGTCAGCGCCAATAATCCGTTCCGAATCAACCGTAAGCACGCTGATGACAACGCCAACGCTGTCCATGGTCGCGAGCATAATCACTGTTGGCGCTGTTGGCGTGAATCGGAAAGATAGGTAACATTTCGTTCAGCAATTATAAATCGTTAAGTACCCATGATGAGTATGTTTTACGCATCACAGTAAAGGTTGAAAATAAAGTATTTTTGCATACTTTATTTGTATGTAAAAGTATAAAGTATAATTACCAAAAATAAAGTAGGATACGTTATTATAAAGTATGGTTGGCAAGCCTAATGGTGAGTTCAGAGAACCGGAGACCCTTTTAATTTTATATAAGGCATTCCATCTTAGTCCTCAGGTGTGACAACGTATCTGCATTTTGATTCTTATTCAAAGATATATGTAGATGTTTATGGACGACAGCAACCACTTACCATCAGGTGGACTGTAGCTCGGTTGTCACTCTTATTCTATAAAAAATACGCATGCAAATTGCCTCCATGATACAGTAGAAGGTAACGTTTTTAAACAAAAAAATTTGTATAGAATATATCGGTAACTATCATGAAGGTTAGAGAACAGGAGAACGATCACCGTAGAAAATAGTGTCCAGAAATATGGACACCATAATTGAGGCGCTGCGATCGCTCGAGGTTCGCTCAATAAAAGTCATTTTGAGTTTATTTTTTCGATCAGATGCTAAACCACTTGCACATCCACGCACAATAAAATATTTCTCCATTTTTTAATGTTTCTTTTTGTCAAAAATTACAAAATTACGGAGCATGAAAATTTTCTCATTAAAAATGAAATGAAAATTTGTACAACTAACTTCATCTACTTGTATTCATAAACAGCTAACTTCGCAGTCACTACTCACTGACGTCAGCGCCGCTATACATTCTACAATTTTCAAGAACAGGCGGGCTATGCTTTAGTACGTAGTGATCGTTCTTCTGTTCACTAACTTTCATGGTAACTATAGAACTATCCATTTTAGTCTTCATTAGCTGTAAAAACTTTATACCCGTGAATATAATTGCATAATTTATTTATTTATTTTAATTTTATTGAACCTTACATAACAGTGCAAGATTGAAAGGCGGGTTTAATGCTAAAAGCGTTTTCTGCCAATCAACTTTAAGGCAGTGATAACACTACGAAGGCGGTAATTTATTATATTTTGACAGTTTCATCGGTGTCAGCGGGCTCAGTTAGTTTTGACAAGCCCTACTCCTTTTATACCACGCATCTAATAGTACACACTACAATTAATTTCTCTGTGTTAATATATATGTATATTACATTACATATATTGTATACGTATACATCATATACTATATAAGTTTTGTGGCTGCATCACAGATGTGTCTGCTCGGCCGCAGAAGGACCACGCTTGCATAGAATACCCGCGTGAAATAGCAGCATAATGCTGGTGGTTCGTTTGGTGAATGTAAAGAACCGATTTACTGGTAAGTGGTAACGAGACATTTCATCTTAGTCCTCAATGGTGACAACACATCGGCATTTTGATTCTTAATCGAGAATAAATGTATATGGGCTACAGCCATTACCAGCCGGACAATGAGTTAGTTTGTCAGTTGTACTTTCATATTAAACGAGAATACAGCGTCCAGAAGTACAGGGACAATCAGAATAGAATCAAAACACTGCAAACAACACCAACTTTTGTGCATAAAACACGATAAGCAAAAATGTATTGGGTACAAACCAATTTCATGCGACTGTCGTCAAAACTTTGTGTTTCACGCCAAATTATGTACAGTGTCATATCTAGCTTTGTTACGTAGCAACCGCGGAATTTGCTTTGTTTTATTAGTTAAAAAAAGGAAGTTAACAACAGATTTTTCCTGTATTATGGGTGCAGTTTCTAGACGTTAATTGCCCAAGAACAAACATTCCGACCCGAAACAATTACTTATAGTAACTTGTTTCGTGCGAGATTCAAACCCGCGACCTACATCGCCACAACGCAACGCTGTGCTACGACTACAGAAAATCGAGCTGCAGTCAGTTTTAATTTATGGAGCCCAGACTGTATAGAAGTGCGACGCTTACTGTGAAAAAGGGGTAAGACCAATGAAATGAGAAATTTTGCATTAACGACTTTTTTGCCACCGAGGCGAATTGTACATATAGTATTTGAAATGAGGTGAAATATTTGACAGATTTCATAGCGGGGAAGTTCATTTGTTAGGAAAGTTTAATTTTGTAATATTAGTTATATTTCATATCAATTAGTTAAAAATAAACAAAGAGCAAAAATTAAAAATGGGTTTAAAATATGCAAAAAAATAAAAAGCACGCTACTGAAGTTTTGTCTTGTATATTAATAATAATACTCCAGTAAATGATGAACATTCATTTAAAACTAAATTCACAATCAAATGACATTGTGTAGGAAAAAATTTTATCTCAGTCCCAACTGGCTAAGCCGTATTGTAAAACCATTCCGTGCACGCGATGTAACATCTTGTTTAGGCCAAATGTAAAACACGCAGACAGGCGACGCGACGCCCAGCAGCGTGACACATATCTATCTCCATTTATTTTAGTTCGCGATTTTCAAAGGGACTTCTTTTTCGTAAAAAGAATCTTAAATCGTACAATAGGGTATGTACGATTTGAGGTTCTTTTCACTTTTAAACGGAATTAATGAAAGTCATTTTGTATATCGTATAATATATTTATTTTATATAAATAATGCTTAAAACAGATATTCATATAATATTATAACAAATTTTCAATCGAATGTAAAATAGAATAGAGTTAAGAAATTATAGAAAAATTTACAATTAAAATATAAAGGACCGTGTACGATCAATCAAACTATATATATAGCATACACATACATTCTCAAACTAGCGGTCGCAATCCTTCGAGGATCTATGCATATCAATAAAAATTAAGCTACTATCGAGTGTTACATAATGTTACGTACTTTATCAATAACACATGTCTAAATATTGTAATAATTACTAGCGATAGATAATTTTGCTTATACACTTTACTAATCACTAGTGTAGAAATCTTTTCTTTCTCGTTTTTATTTATTTATTTTAACAATAAGTGACAGCATAAAGAACACAGGTAGCTGCGGGTTCTAAACTAAGAGCAGATTGTATCTCAGGACCCTGGCATGCGATACAAAACGATTTGTCACTGGACCTAATTTACATTGAGATAGTGTTAATATTACGTGCTTGTGGAAGTATTGTTTTACTACATAAATAAATTTAAAATAAATAATAGTGCCTGGAAGAGATGATTCCGCAATAGTTGGAATAGGAATGATTACGTCTGGGTCTGTGTTTGTGTGTGTGTGTGTGTGTGTGTGTGTGTGTGTGTGTGTGTGTGTGTGTGTGTGTGTGTGTGTGCGTGTGTGCGTGCGTGCGTGCGTGCGTGCGTGCGTGCGTGCGTGCGTGCGTGCGTGCGTGGGTGCGTGCGTGCGTGTTGTGGGTGTGTGTGTGTGTGTGTGTCTTATGTGCTATTTAATTAGCTCTTCAGTGTCATTATATGTAAGAGCGTACAGCATGTTCTTTAATAGGGTTTTACATGAGAAAGTGGCTGGTCTTTAAGGTCAATTATTTTTAATATTTTGTTGTAGATGAAAGGATGTGAGATATAATGTGGGGCAACATTTGGCCAGGTTTGACTTTACGATTGGAACGGGGATTCTAAAAGTGCATTTGCTTCTTAATTCATTGTAGTCCGGGCGACATCTTACGGTTTTGTGCACTTTGAGTGTGGCATTGTAAATAAACAGCTGTCGCACCCGTAGTACTTTAAATTCTTTATACAGATAATCTGTGGAGTATGTGAATGGCTTACTTAGGATTACTTTAATTTTTAATTTGGAAGTTATTGTAATACATAGTTAAGTGTAAAGACGAAATAAAAAAAACATTTTAAAATCCATAAAATAGATTTGCTGCTTTCAAAAGGATATATATGTATACTGGATGACCTATTTTACCGTTTGGAAAAAAATATGGTATAACATGTGAAAGGAGTGCCTATGGCACTGATATTTTACGAAAAATAAAAACAAAAATTTTGAATTAAATAAATAAATTAATTAAAATCTATCGGAATTCAAATCAAATTCACCCTACTTTACGAACGGCAATAAAATAATAATTTTAGTAGGGTGCATATGATTTGAATTTTTATAGATTTGTATTAATTAATTTAATTCAACAGTTTGTTTTTATTTTTTGTAAAATATTTGTGCCATTCCTACTCCGTTCACATGTTACACCCTATTTTTTCCGGACGGTAAAAATGGTCATGCAGTATATTTATGTAATTATTCTGTTTATAAAACAAAATATTAAACATAAGCGTGCATTAAAATCGATCCCGTACTTTTTAAATAAAACGAAAATTACTTATAATTTGTTTACTTAAAATTGATAGCGAATGTAGACCGAATCAAAGTCACATTCATTTTTTATTATATTTTTGCTTTTAGGGAGTTGCGAAAGAAGAAGTTTGAGAAGCAAAGCACTAGAGTATGCAATATATAAACGACAATGTATAAGTACACAAATTGGGTCCTTTAGCATAAATACCTTGATAATGTTTATTATTAATTCTAAACTGTACATTTTAAATTTTTGGTACGGTAAGGAAGCAATAAAGTTACAGCTTACGCAACAGCTGGACTCACGTCTCTCTAGATATTTTTACTACAATCACTGTCAAAAATATTAAAACCTATAATCATGTCAAAAATATTAAAATTTTTACTATTACTGCTAAAATCACATAATTAAATTATAAAATAAATTGAAATAATATTTAGAAAAGACATGATATTATAAATTCGTAAAAGCTTCGTGACGGTCCTTGATAAGCCAGAATGAATCGATGACTTTGCCTTTAAGGTCCACATCAACCTGAAAAAGGACTTTATTGTACTATTATTTCATTCAAACGGAATTATTCTGAAATCGACTAAAATGATAAATATGATTAACTCATAAATGGAACCACCCATAAATTACATCACACAAATTTAATGACTTTTTGATCCCCCCCCTTCCCTTCCGTGTTTGTCACAGGTGGTCACACTTGTGACCCCCTCCCTTTTTCCATTTTTTAAATTTATATATATATTATGTACTTGGTAGCTAAGAGGTTAAGAAAAGGGTTATACTTATGCCCTTGGATTTGTTAAATTTGTAATCCACCCGTATGTCATACCATGGATTGTATATAATTAAGAAGAGAAGTGAAAACTTGAATATTAACGTTGTGCATTTTTGATATTTTGGAATGATTAGGGAATAATTTTGCACGAATTGCTTTATCACACACGAACATTCGCGCAAGCACCCTGCGCCGCTGCGCTGGGATGATTAATATATATAAAAAAAAAAAAAAAAAAAAAAATAATATATATTAATCATCCCAGAATAGACACCGAGTATCTCAGAATAGCTGTGGTAGTTAAGGGCTAAGCGCTCGCTGTAAATTTGATAATTAATCGATTAATAGATTAATCCTTATTTTTTAAAAATAGTGAGAAACGAGCAAGAAATTCGGCAAGAAAATCAGCCGCCGTAGAGTCTACATTACCTGAGGATGCCTCGTGTGGAGGCGAAACACGTGTCGTATTGTCGTCGATGGTGTGTCTTACCTGGAATAGTGGTGTTGGACGTAGTGGTGCCGGGAGTAGTGGTGCTGGGAGTAGTGGTGCTTTGACTAGTGGTGACGGAGTTAGTGCATGCAATTGAGGGAGGGGGGGAGGTGCTCTTCAATCCAGGTAAGACACATCATTGTATTTAGTTAGCGGAAGGTTGCAAAGAAATTTATGTTTTTATTTTTAGCTCTTCATAAGTCCACTACTGAACATCCTCCTCCACAGACAGCCGCAAAGCATGGTCCTGAGCCACTTTCCTTGTCATGAGTTTTTCATTTATGTTCTAAGTTATAATTAGTATCTATTATCAAGTCATGAAACTATTCTTTGTCTTTCTCAAAAATAATTAAATTACCAAATAAATTATAGTGTTTTTTATATAAATCAAATGTCTGATAGAAAAGCAAGTACATGTTTTGCTAAACTTTAAAATCAAATCCCAATTTTAAAACATAGAGATGGATAATTAATGGTATTTATTCCAGTTTATATGCATGTAAAGAATAAATAAAGATAATCGTATATCGTATATCTATTAACAGCCCCATTAATATACACTATTCTTTTATAATTGTTTTATAAAAACGTTACCCCCACACTTGGATTTTCTCCTGTATCGCGGAGATAGCTTACAAACATAAATTTCACAAGGACTCACATCCAGACCCGGAACAATTATTTGTAGGACATACAAATACTTGTTCCGTGCGGGATTCAAACCAGCGGCCCCCGGCGCAGCCACTCATTGCTAAGCCACTGCGCCACGGAGCAAATAAAATAATATCGTCCGCACATTGGCCTGAACCGAAGCAAACTGAACGACCTTCCAACGTGTGGATGCCGTCACAAACTCGGGCAATATCTTCGCCACTGTGTTGGCCAACGTGTAAAGCACGGCGCACGACGCAGGGCGCTTGCGCGAATGTTCGTGTGTGATAATTAAAGCAATTCGTGCAAAATTATTCCCTAATCATTCCAAAATATCAAAAATGCACAACGTTAATATTCAAGTTTTCACTTCTGCCAGCACTCCCGGAGTGCAATTTTATTTTTCTTAATGTACTACAATATTTCTTAATTATATACAATCCATGGTATGACATACGGGTGGATTACAAATTTAACAAATCCAAGGGCGTAATCCTTCAAGGAAGTAAGAAGAGTCTACTTAACCTGAAAAACACTATATATAAATATAACCTCTTAGCTACCAAGCGTCTAAATTTGACCGCGGCGATATTCCGTCAAAATTCAAGAGGTCAAATATGACCGCACCTACTCACAGCACTTCAACCCATAAATACTTATGTTTAGAGATTACTTTTCTATTAAGAAGTTTGGCATTATATAATCAATATGAAATTTTCTGTCCTATTGTGGAATAAAAAGTTAGTTAGTCAATGGATATTTATTTATAATCTACCTTCATTTCGTAAGCCATTTTCGTGTGAATGTTATTGTGTTGATTTTTGGATTTTTTAAGTGTTTTATTACAAAATTGTAATGAAAGTTTTTGTGTGAATATAATTGATCTTTTTGCGTAAATAATTCGGTAACATTAATTTTTTTTTGTTATCAAAATACAATAAAATCTTTTTGTAATGAAGTAAAACCTGACTTTTGTTAAGACCACAACATAGAGAATTTTGTATAGGTTTTATAATGCTAAACTTCTTTATAGAAAAGTAGTCTCTAAACATAAGTTTTAATGGTTTAAAGTGCTGTAGGTGGGTGCGGTCGAATGCGACCGCTCGGGATTTGACGGACGCATGCGACTGCGTGGGATTTTTATGGGGATTGAAGGGTTAAATTATAAACCTTACATTAAACCTTAAATTATAAACCTGTTCCTCGTACCTGCTCTATGTAAATGTGAGTCGTGTTGTAGGCCTTCAACCTGGTGTACCCGTAGTCGCTCGACCTGAACGCGGACCAAGCGGGCGGGCTCGCTGCGGAGACAAATATTGCGAGCAATCAACTTATTACATTTGTTATGAATATTTTAATCCGTACCTTGACTTGATTAAATATACAGGGGTATTGTAGGCGTTTAGCAACATATACAGTACAAAAAATATCCGCTGAGATTCTGAAGAACAGTGCAAAAATCGAACTCGCAACAAAAGCACTGGATCAAAACGCTTGATAAACGTTTTTTTTTTTTTTTGTAAAATAGTATATAACTTTAACATTGATTGACTGCCTCAATGGTTTAATTGCCGTAAACTTGACTGCTGATCATGGTACAAATTCCGGGTCGGGCCAAAATCAGTTATTAGGTTTTTCCAACTAGTTTTAAGGCTTTACGTGGCTCAGAAAACACATTTCTCCGGTCACGTCCCATCGGACTATGAGAGTGAAGGAATAGAGAGCGCACCTGTGCTTGCACACTTGAGCACTGTAATCCTGTACTGCGCTGATGGCTAGACTCCACTGAGACTGGCCGCCGTGACAGAAACAGACAGACGTGATAGAACAGGTCTGTAAGACATTGTTATTAAGATGGAATGCTACTAAGTGGCAGTAAAAACAGTCTCCGGTTCGCGTCACAGCTCACATTAATTAAATCTTGAAATATTTCTCTTACAGAATAGAAGATCATCTTCGTACATGTGTGATATTTAGGTTGGCTATGTTTGAATGGTAAGTTTGGATTGGACACAATCGGTCACCAGTCTCGCCTCTTTAGTTAGCATAGTGTCTAGTGAAGGTGAAGATCTCTTGGACATTTAGACACCTGCCTAATAATATGGATGAAAAAACTAAATATTTCTTCCCAGCCTCGACACTAAACAATCTTTTACTGTTAACAATCTTTTCACAAACTAGTGGTGGCGACCCCTAGAGGACTCACTCGTTTTAGATTCTGTATAAGTTATAAAATTCCTTATCAGATAATATAAAAAAAAAAAATAATGTGCTCTTTATATAAACTATTAATTAATTTTAAGTATGTATTTTAATGTGAGCCGTGGTAGCTCAGATGGTTAGCGCTCGCTTTCAATTTCACAGTACGCGAGCAAACCAGGTTCGATCGCCGCCGGCACCAATGAAATTGTTAATTGCAATTTTAGGTGCTGATTTACCACGTATTCGGGCAGTGAAGGAAAATATTTTAAGGAAACCTGCATGTCTAAGAAAAAAGAAAAATTTTTTCGAAGTAATGTGAAATTCGCCAACACGCATTGGCTTTTTTGCCCTAAAACGCTCTCAGAAATGAGAGGAGGCATATGCCCAGCAGTGAGAAGCAGCAAACTTTTATGTATTTTAATACATATGTGTCAAGTGTTGTTACGAATAAGTAACTAAATTAATTGCTAACATCATTAATATAATGGATTTCCGCAAAGTTACGCCTGATTCTATTAAATAATTAAATGTGTGTAAATTATTGGTATGAAGCCAATTTCAATAAGAGAAATAAATTAAATTATATAGTAATTACGGACAAAAATACTTACGCTTAAATGGATCAGTTTTTTCCTGGCAGCCGGCTGAACCGGTAATAATGTGCACCGGCGCACTAAAATTGAGCAATTTGTCTTTACTATACTTGAATATTGTCAAATTTAATATTATTTCAAACAATAAATTATGTAATAACAAAATTAAACCCATAAATTAAGCTTTTGCAGCACCAACGTAACAAAAGTTTTGTTAAAACATTTTAATAAAAACAGTTCTATATAAATAAATATAATTAACTTTAATTTAAAAGAAATAACACATAAATTCTGGTAATCAATATTTTTCAGTAACTGCTTAAATTAGCAATATACTTTACAATTTCAAAAACAAAATAAAACATTGGTACCATACATTTCGGTGGTATCAATAAAATTTAAGAAAATAATTCTTCAAAATGATATGTGAAAAGACAATAATCTATATATGAAATAAAAACGGTGTAAAAAGTGAACCTTGAGGAAATCTTAATCAACAATCATTGATCTGGTAAACAATTTGTTAACTATGGTGCTGATAAAATGATATTTTATAAAAATGAGTTAGAAGCAATTTGAACCCAAGCCTGAAAAGCCTGTTAAGCCTGAATGTTATTGAAGCCTACTGTGAAGATATACATAAAAGCATTTACCTTTATAATTTTTATACTAGAAGCCAACCTTTTTATTCAGTCCCCAAGATATGTCAGTCATAAAAGTATTGAACCGACATAAAATTGTAACGATTCCTATTAATAAATAAGTTTTATTTTCAAAAATAAATGTAAAAAGGTATGCATGCAAGTTTCATTAAATTCACGCAAACACAAGATGAAAAATAGCTGTTAGTAGGAAACTCATAGATAGGCATAAATCTTAAAAATAAATCAGCATCATCATCATTACAGCTCTCCACAAGTCCACTGCTGAACATAGACCTCCCCAAGAAATGCCACAAAAGCACGGTCCTGAGCCACCTGTATCCATCGACTACGGTAGGCGTAGTGGGGGGTCGCCCTACACTACTCCCAACAGTACGAGGCTGCCACTCGAGAACCTTTTTTCTCCATCGGTTGTCGGTTCTTCGAGCTATAGTCGATCGATATATGGCCGGCCCATTGCCACTTAAGCTTACTAATCGGTTGGGCTATGTCGGTCACTCTGGTTTTACTGCGGATATCCTCATTTCTAAGTTTATCACGCAGAGAAACCCCGAGCATAACCCTCTCCATAGCTCGCTGAGCGACCTTGAGAGTCCTCATACGGCCAGCAGTGAAGGACCACGTCTCCGATCCGTCAGTCATCACTGGCAACACGCACTGGTTGTACAATCTAGTTTTCAGCGTTTGAGGCATACCTGACGAGAAGATATGTCGTAATTTCGAAGTCCAGACGAGTTGAATCCGTCGATTGACCTCTCTCGAAGTTAGACTTACCTAGTCGGCCTATTTGTCCCAGGTAGACGTACTCGTCAACAACTTCCAGCTTAATGTTACCCACAACTACCAACATAGGTGTGACATGGACATTAAACATAATCTTTGTTTTGTCCATGTTCATCTTAAGACCTTTCCGTTAGGAGACACTACTGAGGTCATTGAGCATAGTGCTTAAGTCCTCCAGCGATTCTGCCATAAGGACTATATCGTCGTCAAATCGAAGGTGAGTGATGTACTCGCCATTGATGTTAATACCGTATCCTTTCCAGTCCAGTAGCTTGAAAACGTCTTTCAATGCAGCGGTGAAGAGTTTTGGGGATATACCTCAGATAATCCTATAATATTCTAGCTCAACTAGTTTATCTCTTCTTCCAGCTACAGGATCTTATCGTCAGTCCTCAGGGTGCGTGCGTTGTATGTTGCCAGGTCAAGTCGTCTTAAGTGGCAAAACCTCAACCGGAGATTCTTAGCACCCTGCTGAGGTTGTCCCTGCCCTGTCGTTACCATGGTCGCCACCGTAGCCAGGAATATCGGGGCCGCCGGGGACTGGGGGCCGTTTGTTTGCGTCGTTGCTCATGGTTGCTCTTACGACACCCACGGGAAGATATGGGGTAGTGGATATTCTTAACCGCCACCACACGGCATTAATATCGTAAAAATTAGTAAATCAGCAACATTTAAAATGCGACGATAGATTTTTTGTTAGTAATGTGAAGCAAGTACTTTTGTTAGATCTTTTCTTTTATATTCTTCACATCGTAATCCTATTCTCAGCTATGTTAAAAATTTCAGGTTTCTAGCTCATCAAAAAGTTAGTTTAAAATAAATGACTAAATCCTAACCGAACACGAAAGCGATTTATCTAAAAAATCTAAAGTTTGAGAACCCAAATATGAGAAAGATATAAAACCAAGATTGGAAAAACTGCAGCTGGTATTCACTCACCCAGGGTTTGTGTATGGATGTTCCAATGAGCCATTATAAACCTTCTCGTCATAGACGGGCCACAGTCGCTCGTATGAATGTTCATGGGCCCAAATCACCAAATCTACGCCGTACTGTTTCAATAGAGGCTCCATACCTGTAATATTTAAAGATAAACATACATTTACTAGCTTTTAAGTCCACATGTGGGTATAGATTTATTTTATAGAACGAGGGTGACAAACGAGCACACAGTCTACCTGATGATAAACGGATGCTGTGGCCCTATAGTCATCTACATCTATCCTCATCAATAATGAATCAAAATGCAGATGCATTGTCACCCCTGACGACTAAGATGGAATGCTTCGTTTCCAGTCACTAAATAGTTTAGTAAAAGGGGGTCTTCGGTTTTCTACACTCACCATACAAAATAGCTGCATTAAGCTGCTACATAGATCTTTTCATGAACACGCCAGCTGGTAATCAAGTAAGACGACATAAAGTCGATGTTAGCAAGTTTTTGCTTTTTACAGCGTACAAATTTAATTTGGGGTTAATGGATTCGATTAGATAATTTAAACTATCATATTAATATCGTACAAATCGTGTCTTAATGAGGTACTCGGAGTTCCAAAAAATGTGTCATAGACAACCATGTCTTTTACATTAAGTTTTAAAATGGTAAGAGTAAGGCAGTAATTACTAGTAGTACTGTAGTTATCTAAATGCACGTTTACTTGTAAAAAAAACGAAAAGATTCTATGAGAAAATATTTTATTAAAATAAAAAAGTAATTTCAATGGGTCTTTCGAGCCGGATTAATATTTAAGAAGTATTCAAAGGGAACAACTATAAATATGAATATGAATATCAAGTATAACTGAGAAATGAAAATTTAACTGAAAGGCTTTTATTTAACTAAGATTTATCTTTCTCATGTCAACTAAACGGAATGCAAAATCACCACGTGAATTATTTATATTGGTTTTCATACCATTTTATTACAAGTCTATAATCACTACATACAACGAATCGTAGAGACAAAGAAATATGTAACAAGATAGTACTAACCTAAACGTATGCAGAATTAAAACCGTACCATCTCATCAATATATAAACAATTTAACCCCATCGTAAAATTCCTAATATTTTCGTATAAGATAAGGATGACTTCGATTAAGAATCAAAATGCAGATGAGTTGTCACCTGTGAGAACCAAGAAGGAATGCCTCGTTTCCAGTAAAAATAGTCTCCGGTTTTCTACACTCACTATTTCTATTCTGTGAGAGCGTGATCCTTCTAATGTCGGCCGAAACATTCATGCTACAACTATACCAGTAATATAGCTTGCAGCAATGACTCTACTACGTATTGCAGCATGGCTCTACCACGTATAATCTTCTCGAATATTGTAATCTACATATCTTCTATACTATAATAAAACTCTAACTCGACGTCTGGCTAAACACGCATCACGCAAAAACCTGAGATCCGATTTGGATGGGACTTTCACTAGTAGATAGCTGATGTTATAAGAAATAACTTGGGCTATTTTTATTTAAGGTTTCCGCAGAAAAAAAATCCACGTGGGCGAAGTCGCGGGGAACAGCTAGTTAAGTAAAATATGTATTTCTTTATGTATGCTACTGCTCCACCTGTGTCTTAACGCGTTCGTTATCGCGATAATTGATGATATACGGAGACGTACTCAACATGTAGTGCGCTAATTTATTAACGTCATTATTAATGGCATTGAGACATTAGGCGATAACTCAGGTATCGGTTTTTTCGACACATCAAAGGGTTTTAGCACGTTATTTTACGCAATAATTCTGCTTGGTTACCGTCTGCGCTGTCAGTCGCACATATGTTCTGCGCAGACACTGAAGACGTATGCGTAGTTGCTTTTGGCGGGAACGTTTAGATAATTGATAGAATCAGGCGTTCCTTTGCGGAAATCCATTATAATAAAGATATTAATAGTTACTTTGCAACCATCCACTCAACTAAAAAAATGATGCGTCTTACCTAGTTTGAAGAGCACCTCCTGCCCTCCCTCAATTGCGTGCACTAATCCCGTCACCACTAATCCCAGCAATAATAAACCGCTCTTAGCGGTCGGCCGTTGTAGTCTACATCACCTGAAGATGCCTCGTGTAGAGGCGAAACACGTGATGTATTATCGTCGATGGTGTGTCTTTCCTAGAATATTGGTGCGGGGATTAGTGGTGTTGGGAGTAGTGGTGCTGGGATTAGTAGTGACGGAATTAGTGCACGCAATTGAGGGAGGGCGGGAGGTGCTCTTCAAACTAGGTAAGACACATCATTTTATTTAATTGAGCGGATGGTTGCAAAGTAACTATTAATATTGTTACGAGCTTGAGGTTCGTGACAATAAAAACTGCCGATTTAATTACCAAGATTTACACTTTAATTCACTTTACACTAATTAAAACTTAAAACACTAATAATTAACCACACTGATTCGCTTTATTTCGCTCCGAAGCTTCGCTTGTCTCGCCAAATTCAATCTTCCCCGATCGCATCTTGCAGCGCCTATAAATACAAATTAGCACCGAAACATCCAGAATATTCAAGTAAACACGCGCAAGGGGCCGAGAGTTCGAGTGTCGACTTCTAGAAGCTTAGTTCTTCGTTCCGAGACAAGATGGCGCTGTCGGTTGAAAGATTAGTGATGTCATTTTCTGGAAAGCTCCCCTCGCTCTCGTCCCTGACACTAGATGGCGCTAGTGCCGGATACATGACGTCGACTTATTCGCGCAACACTGCCCCCTCCTAAGACATGCTCGTCCCGAGCATTATCGGCCCCATAATAACGCGCCAAGCGATCCACATGGACGATTTTAGGAGTCCCTCTTGCGCCTTTCTGTATCCGGTAGGTTACATCGTTGATCCTGGTTACAATCCGGTACGGGCCGTCCCATTTAGCTTGAAGCTTAGGAGATTTCCCTTTGCTGCGGACTGGATTGTGCAACCACACTAGTGAACCTTCGTCGAAGCTTTTATTGTTCATTTTGCGGTCGTACCGGGTTTTCATCTTCTCAGACATTTGCTGGCCCGATTGTCTGACGTGCTCATAAATGTCATTCATTTTGTTCCGCAAGTCATTTGCATAATCTGTTATACTACGTGGGGCATCAGGTGGTATCCCGGTGATCAGGTCTGCAGGCAGCCGTAATTCTCTTCCAAAGTTTGCGAAAGCTGGTGTCACTGCTGTACTTTCGTGAACAGCGCTTCGATATGACAACAAAAACGGTTGTATGTGCTTGTCCCAATCTCGTTGCCGATTATCTACAACTTTTGCTAGGTACCTCTCCAATGTCTGATTAAATCGTTCTACCATTCCATCAGATTGCGGGTGATAAGAAGTTGTTCTTGTTTTATGAGTACCCATAACTCGGCAAGTTTCCTGGAATATTTGAGACTCAAAATTCCTTCCTTGATCGCTGTGAATCTCTAACGGTACTCCAAAACGACAGAAGACTTCACGAACTAGCTTATCCGCAACTGTTGAAGCTTCTTGATTTGGAATGGCGAAGACTTCTGGCCACTTAGTGAAGTAATCCATCACAACCATGAAATACTTGTTACCGCTTTCACTCTCCGGAAACGGCCTCGCCACGTCAATGGCTATTCTCTCCCATGGTGCACCAACATTGTGCAACTTCAATGCACCTCTACTACGAGTGTGAGGTCCCTTTACAGCCGCACAACTTGTACATTTGCGACACCAGTCCTCGAAATCGTTTCGACAGTGGACCCAGTAAAACCGTTCTCGGATCTTCAGTAGAGTCCGTTTAACTCCCAGATGGCCTCCTGAACAATCATTATGGTACAGCTGTAGAACATCCGGTACTCTAGCTTTAGGGACGACCATTTGCAAATGACAGCTGTCTCCCCGAACATTTTCCCATTTACGGCACAGAACTCCATCCTGAAGCAGCAAGCTTTCCCACTTGGCCCAATAGCTTTTAGTGGTCGAAGTCATCGCTGAGACGTAGCTCCACTTGGGCTTGGGAGCACTGGCCTTCATCCATTGCAGAATCGGCTTGATGTCCGGATCTTCCTGCTGTGCATGTCGTAAGCTGTCCTTCCACTCGTTGCTGAGGTGGTCTGTCCTGAGCATCCTCACGGATACCACTTCCTTACTCTCTTGTCTAGTACAATGTTTGCAATCTTCAGGACAAGGTCATCTTGACAATGCATCTGCGTTGCTATGAGATTTCCCGCTGCGATGTTCGATCTCAAAGTCGTATTCCTGCAGTAGTTCAATCCACCTCGCAACTTGTCCTTCTGGATTTTTAAACTGTAATAGCCAATTTAGTGCAGCATGGTAAGTTCGCAAGTGAAATTTCCGCCCCAGAAGATATTTGCTAAAATGCTGCAACGACTTTACCACAGCTAGCAATTCGCGTCTTGTGACACAATAGCTCCTTTCCGGTTTTGACAACGTCTTGCTGAAGTACGCTATCACGACCTCTTGGTCACCATTCCGTTGAGACAACACACCGCCAAGTCCTATATCACTTGCGTCCGTGTCAACTATAAATTCTTTGCTTGCATCAGGGTATCCCAAAATAGGTGTTTTGCACAGACGGTCCTTGAACTCCTGGAATGCGATATTGCAACTTTCATCCCAGCAGAAATATCGCTTCTCCTCGGTTAGCTTGTGCAGAGGTTTGGCTATACCTGCAAAATTTTTCACAAACCGCCGATAATAGGAGCACAAACCCAAAAATGCTCTAACCTGCGTCTTGTCTTTTGGAACCGGCCAATCCTTGACAGCGGCGATTTTCTCCGGATCCGTGCGGATACCTTCTTCCGACACTACATACCCCAAAAAGTTGACTTGCCGTTTGAATAGTGAACATTTCTTCGGACTCAACTTGATGTTGGCACTCTGAATCTTCATGAGCACGCGTTCCAGGTTTTGAAGGTGTTCCTCAAACGTACGGCCCACGATGATGATGTCATCCAAGTAGACCAGACAGGCATCGCCAATTAGCCCGGTAAGTACAAGCTCCATCAGTCTTTCAAACGTTGCTGGAGCATTGCACAATCCAAACGGCATTACTTTAAATTGCCACAGACCCTTTCCCGTCGAGAACGCAGTTTTCTCCTTGCCCTTAGGGT